TAGAGAAAGAAAGCAAAAGAGAAAGAAGAGCTCCGCGCGTTGCTTGCAGCAACTCCCGCCGCAAGCAGGACAGCTCCACCTGCTGCTGTGGTGCCATGCTGCTGCTGCTGCCGCTACTGCTGCTGCTACTACTACTGCTGCTGCCAGTCGAGTGAGAGGCCAAGTCGGTCCACGAAAGGACACTGCGGGAGGCAGCTGCAATCGTAGACATAACCGATGCCTCCCGCAGCAGCAAATGCTCGCCCTCTCCCCGTCGCAGCAGCAGCTGCTGCATGTAGGCATTTGGGTCGCGCTGCAGTAGCAGCAGCAGCTGCAGCAGTTCGCCACCGACAGCCAATCGTACGGAAGGACAAGCAGAAGGCCGCAACAGCAGCTGCGCACACTCCACAGGGGCGAGTGAAAACACGGGGCCCGGCCCGTTTCCCTCCAACAGCCGCTGCTGCTGCTGCTGCTGCTGCTGCTGCTGCTCGTGTTGCACTTGCTCCTTCTGCTGCTTCGGATGAACTGTAGAGCCTCCTTCTTGCACCGGCATAAGGGCTCTTCTGTTAAGGAATGTCAGCATGGCACGGTCGAGGTGTGCGTACAGCTCATGAAGAGAAGGGCCCCCAAAATTGGGGCCGTAGCCATTCCAGTAAGCAAATGAGGGAGCTACCCCGGAGAGCGGCCATACAGCCGATTGTTGTTGCTGTTGCTGCTGTTGGTATTGATGCTGACCTTGTCCTGGCGTAGAAGCGGCGGAGGTGACAGCTGGCTGCTGCTGCTGCTGCTGTTGCTGCGAGCAGACGGCTCTTTCTAGTAGAAGCAGCGTCCTATAAGTGCTTAGCGTGCAGTGCCACTGCAGCGCGTTTTGCTGCTGCAAGAGGTGGATATACACCGGAATCGCAGCAGCAGTAGCTGCAGCCTTGAGGTGCTGTAACGGGGTGTAATGACAGAGCAGAAGCAAGAGAGACCGCATGGCAGCAGCTGCCTCGGTGGGCTGCAGCACATCCAAGCGGGAGCTCCCTGCTGCTAAAC